ATGCGCACAGTTAAATAAAAATAAATAACCCTCGAGGAAGCTATTTCATGTATAAGTGTTGGCTTCGGTGTCCTGAGGTTGAATAGAGCATGGGTTTCCAACTTTAGCCACTTTAAGACTTGTGGACTTCAACTCCAAATTCCTCAGCCAACTTTGGCCACTTTAAGACTTGTGGACTTCAACTCCCAGAATTCCTCAGCCAACCTTGGCCACTTTAAGACTTGTGGACTTCAACTCCCAGAATTCCTCAGCCAACCTTGGCCACTTTAAGACTTGTAGACTTCAATTCCCAGAATTCTGGGAGTTGAAGTCCACAAGTCTTAAAGTGGCCAAGGTTGGAGACCCCTAAACTAGAGTTTCCTTCTGTTTTATCTGGCTGCCTTTTCTGTTTTTGTTGAAACGTTGTACCTCAGGCAATGTGTGATTGATGTATTTTGTTCCACGTCAACCGACAGGTCCAGAAAATCTTCATCTTTGCTGCTCACCTTGAAGAGGTTAAAGAAAAAAAAGGCAGATTTTACAACTTTAAGAAATAGAATGAAGGATGTACAACTGTGCAGCATCTCATTCCTAGCATTGTTCTCTGCTAAACCGATCTCAATGAAAGGCCCTGAGCCAGTCACATTCCCAACATTTACTGCTAGGAATGTGGGTTTCAGGCGTGCCTTCATCACAGGCAGCCCTGGACCACAATTTCTGTTGCTAAGCGAGATAGTTATTAAGTGAATTTTGTCCCAATTTACACAAGTCTTGGGGTTGCCAAGTTTGGAGACCTCTGGTTTAGCAGAACAAACAGCAGAACATTTTGGATGGACTCAGTGTAGACATGTGCAAAGCAGGTAGTCCTCAACTTACAACAGTTCAAAGTTACAACGGCACTGGAAAAAGTGACTTGTGACCATTTTTCAGACTTATGTCCATTGCAGCTTCCCCATGGTCACGTGATTTACATTCAGATGCTTGACAGGTGACCCACATTTACGATGGTTGCAGTGTCCCAGGATCATACCAGCATCATTTGCCACATCATCTGACAAGCCAAGGGGGAAGTGAGGTTCCTTTAACAAACCGGGTTATTAATTTAATAACAACTGCAATGATTCGCTTAATGTGGCAAGGAAAGTCATCAAATGGGGCAAAACTCACTTAACAAATTTCTCCCTTCGCAGCATAAGTTTTGGACTCAATTGTGGTCGTAAGTTGAGGACTACCTGCACTTCAAATCCACAGATGAAAAAGTTCTTCGGAGGAGGGATGGTGTCATGCCCCTGTCGGAATCTGACTGGGAGGGGGAAGCTGAGCAGCTGACAGGGAATGGGAGTGTGGCCCGGTTGGCTGTGGATGAAACTGGGGAAGGGTAAAGTCTGACTGGGCAGAGCAGGGGAGAGGTAGAGCAAGGGAGAGGGAATTCAGTAGAAGATCCAGACCCACCCCCTCTTTATCCTAGGGCATGCAGGGAGGAAGGGAGCAACGAGGGTTGTGTGGCTTACCGGGGAGGAAAGGGCCCTGATTCCCTTCATTAGCCACAGCTGGGAAGACAGTTGATAAGGAAGGCAGGCTGCGTGCGGCAGCTGCCGGGAGCAAACGTGACTTTATCCTGTGTTGTCATGGCTTATCTGTGTTCCTGGCATCTTCCCATCCATGTGAATTTTGCTGTGCCTTCAAGTCTGAAATTCCTTTTCCTGCCTTGTCAAGTTAATTACTTCAGCTTGGTTTGGATTTTTGGTTACAGTTTGTATGTACCTTGTTTTGGACTGAATTTTCTACAGTTAAAGGCTGTTCCAGGGAGAATTTTTCTCCAGCCAGAAGGTAACCTGGACATTGGGGGCAAAGTTGGAGATAATAAAGGGACTCTTACTTCTTATCTGACTGTGTTGCCTTTGTGCCACGCCCCTTTGGGTCATCACAGATGGGCACACTGTGAGCGCTTCCTTTACTCAACTGACCATGCAAGACCAGGACACTTGGTTTCTTTCAGAAGATGCAAACCAGTCTTGTGGCCACCCCAAAGCTTCAGACCCAGGTCCAAAGTACTGATGTGCTCAAATCGGGACCTTTAGACCGAAGAATGTAACAGGGCAACTACTTCAAGGAGACAAGAACTACCCTAATCAAGGAACCACCAAGGAGAAAACTGCACCACCTCCCGTCATTGGCAGGGCAAGCTACTGCATAGAAAGAGAGAGCAAACCCCAAACTGCCTGGCCCTGATGACGTTTCCTACTTGGGCAATGAAACATTAGCAAGTTTATTAATTTTGGAAAGGAGCTAATATCCCTTCAGAAGATTTAGTCATACAAAAAGTATTAGAATGCACGGAAATGGATAAGCTCACATTGGAAATGAAAGACAAAGAGGATTCCGAATATTACGCAATATGGGATAAATGGTATGAGTGGCTAAAAAATAGATATAAGGCCTAGGAAGAATGGATTATTGTAAATAAAGCAACAGACCTTAAGAGATTATTAATGTAGATGTGTATATATATAAGGTATATATGTATACATGTATTTGTGATTGCCAAAATGTTGTCACGAATATAAATGAGATTTGTATTTTTGAAAATTGTAATAAAAACAATTTAAAAAAAAAGAGACACCAGCAAGCAAACAGCCAAGCTCAGAGAGTCTCAAAGAGGCCAGAACAAGAACTGAGATAAGAGTGGGGCAGAGTTATGAACTTCACACCCTCCTACAAGCTTCTTGAAAGCAGACCAAGCCAGTTGTGGCAGAAAACATTGTGAGTGCTGAAGTCCACACATCTTTGTTACCAAAACCGAGAAACGTTTTTCTAGCTCAAGGATCTCCAAATTTGGCATCTTGTGGACTTCCAGTCCCCAAATTCTGAGACTAGAAGTCCACAAGTCTTAAAGTTGCTAAACTTAGAGGCCCCTCTTCTAGCTAAATGCAGGTTTAGCAACCAGAAGGAGATGACAGTTCATCTGTTTATATACGGACAGTAAGAAGATGGGGGGGGGGGGGAAACACAGGCAACCATCTTGGGAAAGAGCACCGTTAAGTGGGAATTTCAGAGAAAGTAAAGAGCCACCTACAGCTTCACAGTTTAAACAGCGAGTTTCGTTTGTTAGTGTTCCCTGGAAGATTTCATGGACCCACGTAAGCTCGGTCTTCTCCCCTTCATCACTCTCAATGCTTCCATTCTGGAGTTTTCCATTCTGTTTTTCCTGCTTCTTTTCTTCTTGCAGCAAGTCCGCAATTGTGTTCAACAGATAGTTCAGGAATTCGTGTGCGTCCTGCTGCATATAGTTGTCAAACAGCTCTGGTAGCAAGAAGGCACACAACAACAACAAAAAGAGCAGAGGAATTAAGATATTAGACTGCCGGCGTAGTATGGTTGAAATCATTACAGAATTTCAGATACCAGGACAGAAAGCAACAGGGTATGCTTTTATTAAAACTGAGCAAAAGTGCGTAGTAAAAATAGGTTTTTAAAAAGGAGATGGGAACATATTTGCAACATGAATATAATACCACTCTGAGGCAAATGATCACATCACTCTGGGACAATTAGAAGGACATGCCAGTTGCCAAGCACGCTATTTCTGATCATGTGACCCTGGGGATGCTCCAACGGTTGTAAGGATCGTAAGTCAGTTTTTTAAGTCAGTAAGTCAGTTTTTTTCAGCGCCGTTGTCACTACGTTGTCAACGGTCACTAAATGAATGGCTGTAGTTAAGGGCAAAGGACAACAAATGATGGGCAGAGTTACAAAACGATTACCACGAGAGTCTGATTTACTTGCTAACTAGTTCTCAATGTTGGCCTAGTCAGTTAAAGGATATTCTTCTTTTTATTATTTTATTATTATTTAATTTTTCACTTTTATTCTTATGCAGTCCGATCTAAGCATAGTACACACAATTGTCTGCTAAAACTTCTTGCCTGTCAACCACTTCTTCAGCCTCAATCGCAATAACACCCGGGCAAATAACCGATACAAAGTCAAGGTAAACCACTACAAACTCGACTGCAGAAAATAGGACTTCAGCCACAGAGGGGTCAACGCCTGGAACGCCCTGCCCGGCTCTTGTTGTTACAGCCTCAACCCCTCGCAGCTTCAACCTCAAACTGCCTACCGTGGACCTCACCGCATTCCTAAGAGGTCCTTAAAGGGGGCGTGCATAAGTGCACCGGCGTGCCTACCGTCCCTGTCTCACTGTCCCCATTTATCTGTATTTACTCCCTTTGTTCTTGTTTACATTCATACCTACACTTGTTATCTTGTACATGTTTGACAAACAAACAAATTCTTTAATCAGACGTTGAACCTGGATGCCCTCTATCACCTGTGTTTGTAGAGGAGGGGATTTGGATATGGGTCAATATGGTGATTGGCTGTTTGCAAGTAGCTTGATTCTTAAATTAACAGGATTTCTTTTTTAAAGGCTAAGCGGGGCAGGAAGCTTAATGGAGAGGTGTGTCCGTGCATCATGCTGATTACCCCAGTACAGGTGGTCCTCCACTTATGACCATAACTGAGCCCAAAATTTCTGTTGCTGAGCGAGACAGTTCAGTGAGTTTTGCCCCATTTTGTGACCTTTCTTGCCCCAGTTGTTAAGTGGATCACTGGTTAAGTTAGTAACCCGGTTGTTAAGTGGATCTGGCTCTTCCCCATTGACTTTTGATTGTCAGAAGGTCGCAAAAGGGGATCAAGTGACCCCCCTGGGACATTGCAGCCATCGTAAGTATCAGTTGCCTGAAGGGCCTGGAGTTTGATCAGGTGACTT